AAGGCCTTATATACCCTCCTCCCAGCATCCAGGCTGTGTCCCAATCTAGTGGCACCATGTAAGTGGAGCCACTGATCTGTCGGGGTTGCAGGACCAGGACTCGGGAGCCGGCTGTTCGTGGCAGCCCCAAGCAGGGGCAGAAGTAGAGTTTATCAACACAAAACCACTGGGCGGTGGTGGCGCACACCTTTAATTCCCAGCACTCGGGAGGCAGAGGCAGGCGGAGCTCTGTGAGTTCGAGGCCAGCCTGATCTACAGAGTGAGTTCCAGGAAAGCCAGGGCTACACAGAGAAATGCTGTCTCGAGAAAACCAAAAACAAATAAATAGATAGATAGATAGATAGATAGATAGATAGATAGATAGATAGATAGATAAATAACCATAAGCGTACCTGTGCCAAGTTACAGTTACAGTTTTCACCAATCAGGATTCAGGAATTAAGGGCTTTCCTTATAAGTTCCATTGTCAACAGGCAAAGAATGTTCAACCAATTAGATTCACGTCTTTAGGTTTCATTGTTAGGAACAGGCATTATGTTTCAGGGATTGTTACTTTGACAGGAAGTTGATTAGCTTCTGGATAGTTCCCAGGGGAACTCCAGTGGGACTTGAACTTTGTTTCATCCTACAGGTAAAATGGTCTGAAGTCAAAATGACAGTACTTAGGACAAGGAGTTTTTGTCTACTCCCTTCAATGCCAATAATCCCAGTCCTCAGGAGGCAGAGGCAGGTGGATCTCTGTGAGTTCAAGACCAGCCTGATCTACAGAACAAGTTGCAGGCCAGTTGGAGCTACATAGTGAGGCCTGTGTCCAAAAATAAAAACAGAAGAAAGAAAAAGAAACAAAGGAAGGACAACAAAAGGGAAAAGAAAGAGCAGTGCATACTGTGAGCTGCTGAGCCATCTTTCCCGCCTGAGGGAATGAAGACCTTTGAAGGTTCTGAGCTTTCCAGGGGTGGGAGCAGGAGTGAGCATCTCTCAAGGCTTTTACAGAACTGACAGAAGAGTTTGGTTGAGGTACAGATTGTTACAAGGTTACTCTTCATGACTTTAATTTTATTATTTATTTTATTATAGTGTGTGTGTGTGTGTGTGTGTGTGTACACGTATGAGCATGTGAGTACAGTGCCTATGGAGACCAGAAGAGGGCATTGGATCCCCTGGAGCTAGAGTTGTAGCTGGCTGTGGGCCACCCAACATGGGTGCTGAGAACCACAGTTGGGTCCTTTGCAATAATGGTATATGCCATGTCTCCAGCACCCCCTCTTTAAATTTTCACTTGGAGGGGTATTTTTTGAGACAGTGTCTCACTGTGTAGCCTGAGCTAGCCTGGAACATGCTATGTAAACCAAAATGCCCTCAAAATCACAGAGATCTCCCTGCCCTTGACTCCCAAGCTCTGGGATTGAAGCTGGGAGCCATCATACCTGGCTATGTATTTGAGATCTAGTCTTACACTATAGCCCAGATTGGACCAGAACTCATAGTAACCCTATTTCTACCTCTCAAATGCTGGGATTACAAAGATGAGTCACTATATTCAGCCTAGTTTTAACTTTAAGACCACGAGAATGCTTCACATTTAAAAAATATCACTGAGGGATGGTGGCGCACGCCTTTAATCCCAGCACTCAGCAGGTAGAAGAAGGGGAGCTCTGTGAGTCTGAGGCCAGCCTGGTCTACCGATAGTGAGATCCAGGGCAGCCTGGGCTGCACAGAGAACCCTGCCTCACACCTGCACAGCAAGTACTTTTGCCACCACAGAACCATCTATCTCCCCAGCCCTCAGCTACAGCTTTAGTGACTTTTTTTGTACTGTTTGCAATGCCTATGTGTGTAATGTGGGTGTGTGCACTCCACGGCAAAGGTCAAAGGACAGCTTGCAGATCAGTTGTCTCCTTCTATGGGGGTTCATGCTGTCAGACTTACTAGGTATGTGCTTTTGTCTGCTGAGCCATCTTACTGGCCCTTCCGGGAATATTTAAGGACAGTGATGCAAAGCAAACCAGCTTCGTTCAGGATTATTAGTGAAGCTGGCTTTCCATTGCAGCACTTCATGCATCTTCTAGAACAATGGCTGTATTATAAGAGAATCAAAAATTTTGCCATAAAGGCACAAGAATAAAGTTTAAGATGGAGACATTGAATTTGAAGTATTAATATGAACTCATTGTCATTTCCTAAGTTAAAAACTTTTAGTTGTGCAATATCCATACAGAGAAGTGAAGGACCTGTGTACAGTGTGAATTCTCACAAACTGAATACCTCTGTCCTCAACACCCAACGCAAGTGACAAGACATTGCTGTCCTCAGAACCTCTGTACTTTTTCTATCACTAATACTCCTGGGCAGCCCACCTCACCCCAACCACGACCCTTCCTTCTAATTACATAGAAAGGATATTGGTTTTCCTACTTATTATGCAGGGAATCATAGATATGGTTGTTTGGTTTTTTATGACAGGGTCTCTAGCCTGGTGGTGGCGCATGCCTTTAGTCCCAGTACTCAGGAGGCAGAGGCAGGTGGATCTCTGTGAGTTTGAGGCCAGCCTGATCTGTAGTGAGTTCCAGGATAGCCAGGGCTGTCTCGAAAAAACAACAGACAGACTCTTGTGTAGCCCAGGCTGGTCTTGGGCTTGCTCTGTGGCTAAGGCTGGCCTTGGACTCCTGATCTTCCTACCTCTACCTCTCAAGTCCTATGATTTTAGGTATGTGCCCCTCTGCCACATATGCCCTGCTGGGGATCAAACCCAGAACTTCCTGCATACTAGATGAGCACTCTACCAACAATGTTTTCTATCTGCTTATTTTGCTCAGAATTATGCTTTGGGGATGTATTTGTATCATTGCCCAGACACAGGTTGTTCCTTAGGATTCAAACTTCTAATCGCTGCAGAAAAGCATAGGACCAATGTGCAGACCCTGGAACCGGCTGCCACACCCCAGGAACAGACTTATATGTGCATTGACGGTATAAGGTCTGTCTTCCCAGTACCACAGTCTTCTGTTTCCCTTGGAGCAGTATGTAGTGACTGCTAATATCCCACACATGTACTCACAGGCGCTGAGTGACAAAGTGCACTTGAGATAACTAGGTTAAGTAGTCAAATAAATCTGAATTATTTCATTGTTTTGATTAGGTTTTAGTTTCATTTTCTAAAAAAATGTACTATTTTTAATACACAGTACTTAATATTCCCATTTAACTATAGTACCCTTTAAAAACTGCACCCCCCAGTGGCCCAGTTTGGAAGTGCATGCCTGTAATCTTAGCACTGAGGCAGCTGAGGCTGAAACACAGTGAGTTTGAGGCAGAACAGTGAGACCCTTTCTGAAGGAAGGAAGGAAGGAAGGAAGGAAGGAAGGAAGGAAGGAAGGAAGGAAGGAGGGAGGGAGGGAGGGAGGGAGGGAGGGAGGGAGGGAGGGAGGAAGGAAGGAAGGAAGGAAGGAAGGAAGGAAGGAAGGAAGGAAGGAAGGAAGGAAGGAGGAAAAGCACTAACAGTATGTTTCCTGGAAATTTGTCTTAAATACTATGAAGTTTCAGATTTTATTTGAGAAATTTTGGATTATCATACCTTGCAGACCCCAGTATGCCAATGGCCTAGCTGGGAATAAAGACACTTGAATTCGGTTCTATTTCACATTTATGGTAGAAAGATCAATTGTGTGATGCAGTATAGAGAAACAGCCCTCAGAGTGGTCACAGGGAAATCATGTGTTCGACATCACCACCCATAAAAAGTCTTTATTACTTTTAAGAAAGTAATTTTTAAATGTTCATAAGTTTGCAAACATAATTCACTTCACTCTTAAATATGTAGAAAGCTTTAAAAACACAAAAAGGATTGTGAAGACCTGGGCTAGATTATACTTTTTTAACTTAATCTTTTTTTAATTGTTGGTGGTGGCCTCACTTTGTAGTCCTGTTTGGTCTGGAACTTGTTATGTACACTAGGTTGGCTTGAACTCAGATCCACCTGCCTCTGCTTCCCAGGATGGAGTTTTGTGTCTATGTGCATGTGTCTGTTTGAGAGGCCAGAGGTGGACTTGACATTAGCTGCCTACCTTACTTTTTTTGAGCAGGGTCTTTCGATAACCTGGGTTCAGCTAGACTTGCTAGCCAGCAAACCCCACAGATCCTTTCATCTCCACATCCTCAGAGCTGACACCACAGCATGCTTGCCTCATCCCCGAGTGCATCTGGAGCAGCCAGGAACTAAGACTTCAAAGTCTTGTATTTTAAATTAAATCTTGTTTTAATTTGGAGGGGCCACAATACCTGGACTTTAAGCATGTTGCTAGTGACACCATATTAAATCATGTAGGTTTAGTCCATGAATTTCCAGATTGAGTTCAGGTGACTGCTTTCCTCTACAGACTTCCTGTCTTGTTTCATATGTTCACTCAACTCATGATCTAAGAATTCCCAGTGCATCTGACCTACGTCTTTCAAGTCTTTTTCAATATTCAAAAAGCACTACCTCTCTTAATGTCACTTTGCTGGTTGAAAACCAAGTAAATTCATCACATTTTAGGTTCGCTGCTTCTTGTTTTACCAGGTAATCTGTTCTCTTCCTTATTTCCTCTAAATTGGGAGTTAGGGCTGTATGGGTTAGAGGTTCAGTGCTTAGTTAGTGTCGATATTGTAGTTTGTCATGCTAGAAGGCACAGAATTCTTTATTATTCTACATTGGTTCAGATGCTGCCAGCCTGACCTACTCACTACCAAGTTCAAGAAAGTCTACCACTCACTGGTCTTAACCCCTAGCCCAGTGGTTCTCAGCTTTCCTAACACTATGACCCTTTAATACAGTTCCTCATGTTGTGGTGACTCCCAAACATAAAATTATTTTTGTTACTAGTTCATAACTATAATTTGGCTACTGAACTGTTTGACCCCCAAAGGGGTTGTGACACACAGGTTGAAAACCCCTACTCTAGAGTCGCTATGATAAGTTCTGGCTGATTCTGCTGAAACTAATTAACCACAACAACTTTCACTAGCTTTGAGATACAACTTATACAGACAGTTCTTTTTATTTATTAATTTTAAAAATGAGTTGGTGCCCTGGCTGTGTGCTCAGGTATACAATATAGATAGCTTTCATACATTCACTCCTTCCATGAAATTCCATTCGAGAGAGAATTTCCTAAAGTTTAACATTTTTTCCTCTGATTGAAATCATGTATGCCATTACTTGTGAACACGAAGCAAAAAAGGATTAAAACCTTTTTCTTCTAGAATTTTCTAATGACCCTTAACACATTTGCAATGGAAGGATTCTTAAAAGAATCCTTAAGAGGGCTGGAGAGATGGCTCAGTGGATAAGAGCACTGATTGTTCTTCCAGAGGTCCTGAGTTCAATCCCCAGCAACCACATGGTGGCTCACAACCATCTATAATGAGATCTGGTGCCCTCGTCTGGCATGTAGACATACATGCAGGCAGAACGCTGTATACATAATAAATAAATAAATCTTTTTAAAAAAAAGAAGTTTTTTTTTTTTTTTTTAAATGAATCCTTAAGAATCCTTGTGAATTCGCTGGTGGTAGGTGAGGTGTGAGTGTTGTCTAAAGGCCTTCTTACACTCGGTACATTTGTATGGTTTCTCTCCAGAATGGATCCTCTGATGCTGAATAAGTGATGAATGGAGCCGAAAGGCTTTCCCACACTCCTTGCAGTCATAAGGTTTCTCACCCGTATGGATGCTCTGATGTTGAGTAAGTTGTGAGAGCAGTCTGAACGTTTTCTCACATTCCATACATTTATAGGGCTTCTCACCAAAATGAATACTCTGGTGTTGAGTCAGCTGTGAGAAGAGTCTGAAGGCCTTCCCACACTCCTTGCAGTCATACGGCTTATCCCCAATGTGAACACCTTGGTGGGAAATGAGCTCCGAGTAACGGCGGAAGAACTTCTGACACTCCTTACACTCGTAAGGTTTCTCACCAGTGTGGATTCTCTGGTGGAGCGTTAGGTGATAGCCTCGACTGAAGGTCTTCCCACACTCCTTACAGTCAAAGGGCTTCTCACCTGTGTGGATCCTCTCGTGGAGGGTGAGCTGCTGCCGCACACGGAAGGCCTTCCCACACTCCTTACAGCTGTACGGCTTCTCTCCTGTGTGCAGCTTGTGATGCAGCCGCAGGCCAGTGCTGCACAGGAAGGCCTGACCACACGCCTTACACTTGTAGCGCACACCAGCACCGTTGAGCCTCTGGTGCCGGGTGAGATGCGCGTACTGCCTGAAGGTCTTCCCACACTGCTTGCACTCGTAGGGCTTCTCGCCCGTGTGGATCCTCTGGTGGAGACTAAGCTGTCCTCGAACTCTGAAGGCCTTCCCACACTCTTTACACTCATACGGCTTCTCGCCAATATGACTTCGCTGATGTCCTCGGAGGTCTGAGCTACACGTGAAGATCTCTGCGCATCTCTTACATTCATAGAGTTTATCAGATGTGTGAATTCGCTGATGTCGACTGAGGTGGGCGCACTGTCTGAAGGCTTTTCCACAGTCTTTACATTCGTAGGGTTTCTCACCGGTATGGATTCTCTGATGGAAAGTAAGTTGTTGGCGGACTCTGAAAGCCTTCCCACACTCCCCACATTCGTAGGGCTTTTCTCTGTTAAGATTTTTCTTATAGAGACCAACAGATGAGCGTTTTCTGTACATAGGTCTTTTTCCAGGGGTGATTTTTGTCAATTCTCTGAAATATACCCTGTGAGAACCCTCTTTAAACATTTTATATTCAAATTCTTTTCCAAAAAAGGAGTCTCCGAGGCCATGCCTTTTAATTCTCTCCATTATTTCCCATGGAGATAAATTAATTTCATAAGGATTCTTTTCTTCAAATAACACTTTACTGCTATATCTGGTTTCCAGATCTGAAAACAAACACACACACATAATTGAAAATAAAAAGGGTGTGGTGCACACAGGAGACACACAGGAGACAGAGGCAGGTGGAGCTCAGTGAGTTCAGGGACAGCATAGTCTATATTGTGAGTTCCAACCAGGCTACCTGATGAGACCTAGTCAAAATACTACTACTACTAGTATATTATATTCAGGGACGGCATAGTCTATATAGTGAGTTCCAACCAGGCTACCTGATGAGACCTAGTCTTCAAAATCACTGGTTACACGTGCACACTGCATTGCTGGAGAAGTAAGCACAGTTAAGAAGACACTAAAGAGGGATGAGAAACAGGCACCAGGGATTCTGCAGCTGGGGCTGTGGTAGAGCGCCTGGGTGGCATGTGAGGCCCTGGCTTCCATCCCCAGCACCATCACAACCAGCGCAAACAAACAAAACCAAAACTGCCTTTATGAATAAAGCACACTTTATGTACTGCAAGGCATCGCAGCTGAGTGAATTGACACTCAAGCAATCCCATCTTTAGCCAACCAGAGCCTCTTCAGATTGTTTCTATTTTCATGGTCACTCTCCCTAAACTTACTTCACTCTAACCCCTAAACCTCATTCCAGCCCTCCATATCCTTATCCTATTCATGTTTCTTTTAATACTTATAAGGGTTTTTTCTCAGACAAAGTCTCACTATGTAGCCCTGGCTAGCCTGGAACTTGCTATTAGACCAGGTTGGTCTTGAAATCCCAGAGATCCACCTGCCTCCTAAGAGCTGGGACTAAAGAAGTGAACCACCATACCTAGTCATTTCAGGATATTAACAAGCCATTTCTTTTTTGTTTTATCTGGTTGTGTAGTGCAGGTGACCAAGACCATGGTTAAACAGATGCTTAACCACTGAGCTACACCCCTAACACAAGCATGTATTTGTTTATTTTTTAACTTTTACATTCATTTTGCCTACATGTATGTCTGTGCACCATGTGCATGCAGTGCGCTTGGAAGCCAGAAAAGGGCACCGTGTCCCCTGGAATGGGAGTTACAGATGGTTGTGAACCATGGTGTAAGTGCCAGAAACAAAACCCAGATCCTGTGTATTAACTGTCAATGCTCTGAACAGCTGAGCCATCTTTCTAACCCCCATTTATTATACGACTTCATTACAAATATAAATTTCATGAGATGAAAACAATAATTACACACATAAAAACTGAAATACAAAGTGGGTGTGGTGGCACACACCTGTAGTCCCAGTCTGGAGACCATCTGAGACAGGAGGAAGAGGAATTCACAGTCAGCCTCATGGTATTGTAAGGCTTTATCTTAGAAAAGAAAACTTAGACTGTTGAGGTGCTCGGCAGTTAAGGGCACTTGGCTGCTCAAGAGGACCAGAGTTCAAGTCCCAACACCTCCAGGGTGGTTCATGACCACCTGTAACTCAGTCTCCAGGGGATCTGATGCCCTCTTCAGGCCTCAGGGACACCAGGCATGCAAGTGGTGCACAGACAAGCATACCAGCAAAGACACAACTACACAAATGAAATCAAATTAATTTGGACTTAATTACTGGGGGTTAAACCACAAGATTATCTACAGAGAAATTATATAAAAGGCACAGGAAAAATCATTCTCACTAGACAAGAAAGCTTTCCTGTGTGGAAAAGGCAGGGAAATGAGAGAAGAAACCAACAACAACTTGGGGTGGAGGAAAGGCCATTGGTGACTCATTCTGAAAAGATCTAAGTTTTCTTTCCAAGTTTCATGTCTCTTCCCCATCAGCATCTCAGGGTGCACCCTCCAACCTCCCCCATCAGCATCTAAGGGTGCATCCTCCAGCCTCCCCATCAGTATCTAAGGGTGCACCCTCCAACCTCCCCCATCAGCATCTAAGGGTGCATCCTCCAGGCTCCCCCATCAGCATCTAAGGGTGCATCCTCCAGGCTCCCCCATCAGCATCTAAGGGTGCATCCTCCAGGCTCCCCCATCAGCATCTAAGGGTGCATCCTCCAGGCTCCCCCATCAGCATCTAAGGGTGCATCCTCCAGGCTCCCCCATCAGCATCTAAGGGTGCATCCTCCAGGCTCCCCCATCAGCATCTAAGGGTGCATCCTCCAGGCTCCCCCATCAGCATCTAAGGGTGCATCCTCCAACCTCCCCCATCAGCATCTCAGGGTGCATCCTCCAGGCTCCCCCATCAGCATCTAAGGGTGCATCCTCCAACCTCCCCCATCAGCATCTAAGGGTGCATCCTCCAACCTCCCCCATCAGCATCTCAGGGTGCACCCTCCAACCTCTCCCATCAGCATCTAAGGGTGCATCCTCCAGGCTCCCCCATCAGTATCTAAGGGATGTATCTGTTATGGAATATGCCTTTACACTGTGTGAAGAAATGTCACTGTGATTGGTTTAATAAAAAAGGGAGATGGCCTACAGCTAGGCAGGATTTTCAAGGCAGAAAGAATGCTGGGAAGAAGAAGGGCAGAGATGCCAGGAGTTACCAGCCAGACACAGAGGAAGCAGGATAGGCAATACAGAGTAAAGGTAACCAAGCCACATAAAAGAATATAGATTAAAGATATGGGTTAATGTAAGTTATAAGAACTAGCTAGGAGCAAGCCTAAGCTATTGGCTAAGCTTTCACATCATCAATAAGTCTCCGTGTCATTTTTTTGTGAGTTTGTGGCCCAAAAAGAAAAGTCTGTCTACATGCACCCTCCAATCTTGCCCATCATCAGCATCTCAGCTGCATCCTCCACCCAGCAGGTGTACGTCAGGCACACACTGCCTTTGCCTGATGAGTGCTCACTCACCTTGGCTCCACCTTCTCTTCTCATCCCTCACAATCATCCAGGGCTCTTTCCCTTGTTCCAGCAGGGTGATCACATCTGGCTTAGAGATGGAACATCCTGCTTGAAAGAACAGAACAGAATCCATGTAAAGAATGAATCTATTTGCCAGGTGGGGTGATACACGGCTGTGACCCTAGTACTTAGGAGAAGGAAGGAGGATCAGGGGTGTAGTGTACATGTGGAATGCAAGGTAAAGTACAGGAGACTTTCTGTGTGGGGTGGGGGAGTACACAGAGTTTTGTTTATATTATTATTATTATTATTATTATTATTATTATTATTATTATTATTTTGATTTTTTGAGACAGGGTTTCTCTGTGTAGCCCTAGCTGTTCTGGAACTCGCTTTGTAGACCAGGCTGGCCCCAAACTCAGAGATCCACCTGCCTCTGCCTCCCGAATGCTGGGATTAAAGGCGTGCGCCACCTCCGCCGCTGCCGCCGCCGCCGCCACCACCACCCAGCTGTTTCAGTTTTTTGTTTGTTTGTTTGTTTGTTTGTTTTACCAGAAAGTCCGTTTATTCACTGAGTATTCTACTGGCTCTGTTTTCTTCTGTTTTAGTTTTTTTAACTTTTATGTTTATGTGTTTGGGTGTTTTGCCTGCATGTATGTCCATGTCCTATGTGCATATAGTGCTCTCAGAGGCCATAAGAGGGTGTTGGATGACCTAGAACTGAAGTTGCAGATGGTTGTGAGATACCCTGTGGATGGCTACCAGGGTAGAAAAACATTAGAGCTGGAATTCTTTTAATATCAAGGGCAGAGGCACGGTTTTATTTTCATTTAAACTCATACAACTCTATCCTTTCAAAACTTATTTTTTAATTTTAATTACGTATTTGAACTATGTGGGATCATGAAAGTGTAAAAACAGAGGTGCCCATTCTGTCAGCTTGCACTGTGGGAAAATGGCCTTCGGTGAACTTACCCAGTGACACCAGGTGGCTGTAGTTCTCTAACATCACATCTTTGTACAGATCCCTCTCATAGGAATTCAGGCATTCCCACTCTTCCTGAGAAAAGTTCACAGTCACATCTCTGAACATCACCTCACTCTGAAATGACAAGCCCGTGTACCATGTGTAAGATAAAATGGGGTAAAATGTCCTGGAGAGTGTCTAAGTTACTGTTCTGTAGCTGTGAAGAAACACCATGACCAAGTCAACTCTTATAAAAGAAAATATTTAATTGGGGGCTTCCTTGTAGTTTTAGAAGGTTAGTCCGTGATCTTCATGGAAGCAGACAGGCATGGCTCTAAGCAGTAGCTGAGAGCTTTATATCCTGACATGCAAGCAGCAGGGAGAGAGAGACACACACAGACAGAAACACACACACACACACACACACACACACACACACACACACACACGCACGCACGCGCACACACACACACACACACACACTTACACACACACACACAGAGACAGAGAGAGACAGAGACAGAGACAGAGACCTGAGCTTGGTGTGGGCTTTTGAAGCCTCGAAGCTCACCCACATGACACACCTCCTCCAACAAGGCCACACCTTTTAATCCTTTCCAAATATTCCCACTAACTGGGGACCAAGTATTCAAATACATGTGTTATGCGAATTTTGTTTATGTCATGGTCCGTTGTCCAACTGAACAGAGCGTTTGGTTCACATTCAGCTAGCCAGAATTAATCTTTCCTCGCTTCCTTTTCTTGGCAGATTCAGGACAAGAGAGTAGTCCTCCAGGAAGAAGAGGTGGGCCGGAAGGTTGCGAGGCCTTTTAGGAGCCGGGAGGCAAACGATGGCGGGTGTGTCTGGCGGTGGTGACTGTCTCGGGTTCTTATCTTATATTTGTTCCCGGGTTTTAAACTATAATAAATGGTAAAATAAATCATTTTTTTTTGAATGGCCTATGGGGGCCATTCTCATTCAGACCCATGGTGCTTGCTGCTCTTGCAGACCAGAGTTCCCATCACTCCCACTGAGCACTCATAACACACACGTTTGCAAACATACACACAGACACATAAAAATTACTAATAAAATCTTGAGAGAATGTTTACAAGGGGCTGGAGAGATGGCTCAGAGGTTAAGAGGTCTTGCTGCTCTTGCAGAGGATGCACGTTTGGTTCCCAGAACCCACCTGGCGGTTCTAAGGGGTCTGACATCCTCTTCTGACACTGAGGGTTCCAGCATGCATGCAGTGCACACACATTCACTCAGACACACTCATACACAATAGAATTAAATAAATATCTCAAAAATAAAACAGGTAACACTGTGCCTTGCATATCGTCTTTCACTATGTCAGTAATGGAAAGAGTTAAGTTACAGGGAGTAACTGCTCACAATGTAACTCTGTGGGAGCAGTGATGCTGTAAGGGGGAGTTTTCTGACTTTCAGGGGTTCATATCAAATAAGCTCCTGATTTGGTCAGTGCACCCTGGATGGAGATGGAGAGAAGGGCACAGAGTAGGCTCCTTCCCCCAGTGTAACGGAAGACTGGGGGGCAGCTGTAGGGTCAGATTCTGTTAGGACATTTCAAAATAACCAATGAGAGAGTTTGTACAACCGGACAGAACAAAAAGGACGGGGCAGCCGAAAGCATCCACTGGGTAAAGGCAGTCAAGCCAGTGACCTGAATTCCATCTTCAGGACGTGCATGGTGGAAGGAGGACTGGATCCTGCAAGTTGCCCTTTTACCTCCACAGACACCTGTGGCACGTGCCCCCCCCCCAACAAAATGAATAAACACAAATAAATAAGTGCATGAGCTTTATCCCTGGGACCCACACGGGAAGCTGAGGATTTGGGGTCCACTCTCAGGACACACAAAGTCGGAGAGAACCAACTCCAAAAGTCCTCTGAAGGTCATGTGTGTGCCACAGCATGCTTAATGCCCGTATGTGCCAGCACACACAGGCAGCATAAATAAATAGTGTAATTTTTTTTTTAAAAGACAGAATTTCAGATACGGAGAAACCAACTTACATGAGCCATGATTCTAGAATTGCAAGAACCGGCTTGTCCCTCCTCAAGGATCATGCCCTGGAGAAGCAGTTCACAGAGACTAGGGCTGGAGGGAGAGTTGCAGGATGAGATCAAAACCGTCTCAGAGCTTCCAAATTTTAAAAACCAGAGGATCCCATTTCTCTCTTCTGACATGCAACCCGGCTTTCCAACACCCAAAGTGTGAGAGGTGGGAGGCAGCTTTACACAGAAATACGTCCTCTCCAAACTACAGGGAAATCAGCTGCAAAACATGGCAGCTGAGACTTCAGTATGCACCCGGGTCATCATGCACTGCACTAAAAGAGGAATCCTCTGATCAGGTCTCCGCTCGCTGAAAATGGAGGGAAATTCTCAGACCCAGAGCAATGAATAATTCATTCTATTTTGTCTTTTTTACTTTTTTAGACAGGGTCTCAATGTAGCCCAGGCTGGCCTTGAATTCCTCATCCTCGTGAATGAAACATTTTCACAGAGGGCTTTCAAAGGGAAGGAAATTAACCCCGTGTCCTAAGAATTCAGACATATTTCACAGAAGTACCAGAAACTCATGCAATCTCGCTTTTAAACAGAAGCAGCCTCTTCCCAAGACCAGCGGGCCTGGAAAGGCCGAGCGAATTCAGGACACTCCGGGCCTTCTTTCTTTTTTCTTTCAGATGGGTCTCTCGCAACCCAATGTCAGGCAGCGGAGGATGACCTTGACTGGCTTATCCTCCTGCCTCCACCTCCCAAATCCTGAGATCACAGGCGTGAGCTGCCACGCCTTCTGGCTTCACCCCCACGCTTTTCCGAACTTGGTCAGAGCCCCCTTCCACGCTTCAGGGGTCCCGGCTGATCCCACCCGCACGCACCACAGCAAGCGACAGGGAGACTGGAGACAGCCCACAGTCACCCGTGTCCGAGTTTGCTGCTTCGGACACAGCCTGTGCAGTGGATACCCAGGTTACCCCCCTGGGGCTGCCGGGCCTCTAGTTCCGAGGTGTCCCGCGGCTCTCAGCTCCCCGGGGCCTGCCCGGCATCTAAGGTCCCCGCGTCCCGCACAGGGTGTCCCCAGGGTGCCAATCCGCCCCCCGACTTCCCTCTCGGTCCTCGTCCACGGCCAGGCCGGGGTTTAGGTGCAGCGCGGCAGCACGATAGGCTGCAACCCAGCGATGGCCACCCGAGTCCCAGGGGTCCGCAGAGCGGGCCCCGCCCTCGAGTCCCGGAGAAGACCATAGGCCGCGCGAGCCCGGCTCACCCAGCGGACGGACCCACCGGAGGGTGGGTCGCGAGTGCTCAGGCACCGCAGCGACCGGTGACCCGGGCCTCAGCGCTGCAGCGGTGGCACAGACGTGCAACTGAGGGTGATACTGAGGGCTCTGGGGGGTTCTGGTCTCAGACCAGAAAGTCCCGGGCGACCCCGCCCTGCCGAGGCTGCGAGCCCCGCCCCCAGCTCCTGGACGGGGGTGGGGGGGCTGTGAGGCAGTGCGCAGGCGCACAAGGGACCCGCGGCGTGAGAGAGGCTTAGGTGGCATCCTGCACCCGCAGTGACAGAGGGAGTTCGGCGCCTGGATCCAGGGTTGGGCCAAAATGGCCTAGAGCCGTGACTCTGGCGTTGAACAAGCTGACACCCTGACGCTTCGAGGTCCAGTGTGGAGCGCTTGATGAATAATGGCCCTTAATCAGACATGTGCTTGCTAGTTTGGGCATCTGTTACTTGTTTTTAAGACAGTCTCCCTAAATGGCCCTGGATCTCTCCACGGAGACCAAGCTGACTTTGAACTTGCAGGGATCCTCCAGCAAGCCCCAGGTTCTGGCATTAAAAGCACACACCACCACACCCTACCTGTACCACTCTTACGGCTGTGATAAGATTGTCTACCCATTTTTCTTCCTTTCTTTTTAAATGTCTGTGACAAAGATTCTCCGTGCAGCCCTTACTAGCCTGGAATCCGTAGGCCAGACTGGCCTCAAACGCAGAGGTCCACCTGCCTTTCTTTTCCGTGACGCTAGAATTAAAGGCGTGAACCACTACGGCCACAGTTTGCTTTTCACGAAGCAGACTAGGGGCTTAATACAGGCTTAAGCATGAGGGTTAGAAGGGCGCAGGACAGCATGCCTGAAAACATGAATGACTGGTTTTCACGGTATTCTTACGTCCTTATGTAAGGAAACCCTTCCTTTTCATCCATTTCTTCAGTCCCAACAGCCTGTGTTCGCGGATTCTTAACGTGTTATAATCGATTTCTTTCATTTTGATGCTGGTGTTTTCCAAGATTTGGCTTGTGGGAGCACCTAAAGCTGGACATTGGTGGGTTTTTTTGAACTACAATCCAGGCTGACCTGAAACTCGTGATTTCTTTCATTCGGCCTCAGTTCCTCTGGTATTACAAGTAAAAGAAACCACACTGGGTTACTGGATAGCTTGTCTGATCGGTTTCTAACACTGTTGTTGTTTTGTTTTGTCATTGTTGTCTTTTTTTGTTTTGTTTTGTTTTTTGGGTTTTTTTGTTTTGTTTTGGAGGCAGGGTTTCTCTGTGTTGTTTTGGTGCCTGTCCTAGATCTCACTCTGTAGACCAAGCTGGCTTCGAACTCACAGAGATCCTCCTGGCTCTGCCTCCCAGAGTGCTGGGACTAAAGGCATGAACCACCACAGCCCGGCTTGTTTGTTTTTTAAACATTGTGGCATTAAATATTTTAGGGGGCTGGGAGGTAACTCGGTGTTTAAGAGCCGGCTGCTCTTCCAGATGACCCAAGTTCAGGTCCCAGCACCCAAATGGTGGCTCACAACTCCCTGTAACTCCAAACCCAGGAGAGCCAATGCCCTCCTCTGGTTTCTGTAGGCTCTAGGCAATTCTCGTTGGACACATACATACATAATAATGCAAGCAAAATACACACATAAAATGTAAAAAACAAAACACATTTCAGCTTCATGATGTACTTTCAATATGTTCACCAAAAGTATGGAAAGCAAGACAATTTATATTCATTCACTTTGTGTAGGGTGTGTGTGTGTGTGTGTGTGTGTGTGTGTCCGTCCATGTATGTGCCATGACACATATGTGCAGGTCAAACAACTTGAGAAAGTTTAAGGCAGGATTGTGAGTTGAGGTTAGCCTGGGCTGGTGAATTCCAGCCTGGGCTACATACAAAGCAAGACCCAGTCTGAAGGGGTCAAACAAATAAAATATAGCTGTTGATAGATCACTAGTAGTGGGCTAGGTCAATGGCAAAATGCTTGCATAGCATGCAAAAGGCTAGATGGTCCAATCCCCAACGTGAAAGAAGAAAAAAGAAGTCTATGCTAGTGATGGTGCAGGCTTATAATTTAAATAACTCCAGAGGCAGAGGCTGAGGCCAGAGAATTACAAGTTCAAGGTCTGTATTGGCAACTTTGTGCAACTGTCTCAAAAAATAAACAAAAAAACCCCACAAACCTAAAAATGGTACAGATGATATGTAGCCAGTATTCACATTCAACTGCTGACAAGATCTGTGTATTTGCTGTTGATCTCTTTGCCCAGGCTGGCCTCTACCTCCACTGATCCTGCTTCAGTGTCCTAGGTAGTTAAAGGCATGTACCACTGCACCCAGTTTTCTCTTGGGTCTAGGAAAGGCTGACACACAGGGCTTTGTGCATACCCAGCAGATCATTGCCACTGAGGTATATTCTCATCTGCTTGGTGATGACAGCTCAGTAAGCTTTAGATGACCCCCTGCCCCACCCCCCACCCCAGCACACATGTTCGAGCTTCCTACCTTCGTTTATGATCCTCTGGATCCACTTGATCCAGAGTGCTGGGCGTACAGGTGTGCACCACTGTATGGTTCACAGAGTGATGGGGAAATCAACCCATGGTTTTGTGCATGCTAACTAAGCAAGTAAGCTAGTTCCATCTCTAGCCACTGGTGTGCTTTTCCTCTCTGTCTCTGGTGTTTTTGAGACAGGGCTTCACTGTGTACCCCGGCTGTCCTGGAACTCACTCTGTAATCCAGCTGCCTCTGCCTTCAAGTCCTGGGACTAAAGGCGTACACTACAACTACCCAGCTGCTTTTCTTTTTTTAGGACTAGGGAAATACTGACCTGACTCAGTTTGACTCAGTACTTTGTACATGTTATTCACAGCATGTGATGAGAATGTATAGCTGCTAAAATACGCTGTTTCACAAGCTGTTTATGAATGACAGAGTATATACAATCTGATCTTTCTTCTTATGCATACAATAGTGGAACGGAATCTGTCTTATGAATGTAAAGGTTTAATAAGATGCAGGACTCTAGGGGATGGCCTTCTGTTGCTGTGATACGTCTGACAAGAAGCAACTTAGGAGAGAAAGGGATTTATTCAGCTTACAAAGCCAGGTTACAGTCCATCATTATTATGGGGGACTCAAGGTGGGAACTTCAAGCATCACATCCACATGAAAACTGTGAGAATAAATGCATAGATTGTTACTTGCTTGCTAGCTTTCTTCATTTTTAGATAGTTCAGCACCCAGCCTATGGCATGGTGCCACCCCCAGTGGGCTGGGTCATTCTACAGCAATTAACCAACATGACAATCCACCAGACATATCTATTGGCCAAGCTGATCTTAATAATTCCTCAGTAAGACTCTCCTCCAAGATGATTCTAAGTGTCAAGTTGACAGTTAAAACTAACCAGTACAACATACTTAAGACATGTAAGCATACACCAACTTTTAAGGCTTCTCCTCCATCCAGAGATCACGGAGATTTCTGAGGGCATGATCCCAAGGTTATTCAATTCTGGAGTAAGAAATTCTTCATTGAAAAATTTTGTATTTCTGAAGGACATAACTTAAGGCTGGTTGTAATAGCCCATGTCTGAAACCTCAGCATTCAGAGGATGAAACAGGAAGATCATTTAGTCCGAGGACAGCCTGAGTGTCTTTGTCTATTACTTTCTACCTTCCTTTTTGAGGCAGGATCTCTCCTTATATATGGAGCTTGCTGATTCAGCTAGGCTCTCTTCTTCCTCCCTCCCCCACAATGGAGACACAGAAGCATACTGCTTCTTGGTATTGTATGTTGAGTGCTGGGGATCAAAACCCAGGTCTGCATACTTGTATGCCAAGCACTTGACTAACAATTGCCCCAAGTCCCCCAAAAGAGGAGAACTTAAACCATAATAATTGTCAGATATTTATTATGTTCAATAACACATTTTAAGCCACTTCCCATTGGGCATGGTGGTACATGTTTGTAATTAACCTGAGGCACAAGTTCAAGGCCATCCTCTGCTACATAGAGAGCTTACCAAGTATCAAAACATCTTATTAAGCAATTTTATGTTTGGAGACAGGTTCTTACTGTGTAGCCCTGGCTGTCCTGGAACTCACTGTGTAGACCAGGCTGGCCTTGAACTCCAAAGATCCACCTGCCTCTGATTATAATGCAAGAAGAGATAGGAAGATCATCAGGCCATTTATTCTGTCAAGAAACAGATCCAAGATGGGTGAGGTGGTCTACACTGGTAATCACAACACTCTAGAGGCAAGGAAGGAGGACTGCCACAGTTTCCAGGTCAGACAGGACTACAATGCAAGGCCCGATTTCAAAAAAAAAGAGGGGACTGAAGAAATGGCTCAGTGCATAAGAGCATGAACTGCTCTTGCAAAGGACCCAAGTTCAGTTTCTGGTTCATAACACCCCTGTGCACCACCTTAACTCCACCACAGGTAATCTGATGCCTCCTATCCACAGAAGTCTCCAAAGCACCAGCACTCACGTGTACAGATCACATATACAGAATTAAACTTGTTTTTTTTTTTTAAAGACAGAGTCTCACTATGTAGTCCTGGCTGTCCTGGAACTCTATGTAGGCCAAGCTGTCCTCAGACTCACAGAGATCCTCCTGCCTCTGCATTCTGAGTTCTGGGATTAAAGGTGTGTGCACCATGCCCAGCTAAAATTAAATTTTAAAAAGTGAGTGTGTGTGTGTGTGGGGGGGGTGATGAGAAGGGAGCAGAGGAGAGGAAAGGGGGAAATAGATCAGCTAGACAGAGGTCCAACCGGATGTGGGCATGCACCTGTAATTGCAGCACAGGGGAAGCTGATGGGAGGGCCAGGGGGTGAAGGTCAGCCCGGAGAGGACTTACCTCAAAATAAAAACAAAATTTCAGGCAAGGGAATAAGTGCAAAAATATAGGAACACAGCTTATGAATTTGTTCTTAAAACTGATAGGACCGAGTGTTGAGACAGCTAAGTCACCATCCACGAAGAGGAACACTATGCCCTGCCTAACTCAGCATAACCAAGACTGCACGGCCCAGTATTTACACTTTAAATCACAAACCACAAGAGGAAAGCATGGGATTTGTGAAGATATGCTGGAATGGAAAAAATGATTTACAAGCATTAACACCCAAGCAGATGCCTTCCAATCATGAATTGGTTGAGTTTACAAATCCAAATCAGACATTTAAAAAAAAGCAAAAAAAAAAAAAAAAAAAAAAAAAAAACCAACCCACTAATATAACCACAAACTAGAGAAAAGGGTTGTAAGTCTTACACGGCCAGCAGGAAAACAATCATTCAACAGAACATAGTATTAAGACATTCCATAGAAAATGTAGTATTTGGAAATAGGAAAATATGGCATTAACTGCAAATTACATATAGCAGAAAGTGCAAATTAAAACTGTCATAACACATTTCACTTAACAGACTGGCAAAATCAAAGCTTTAACAAACAAAGTGTCAGCAAAGGTATAAGAAGGGGTGCTATACAACATCCAAGAAGGAACCAAACGCTATTTATTGGCCTTTTGTAAACGTACATAGACTCCAAAGTAGCAGATCCAACCCAGGGATGGGCTTCACATAGATCTGCATATAGAAGCTAATATGTACAAGATAGTCACCTCATTCTATATTTCAAAGGAGAGAAGGGACTGATTCAGTTAACTGTGGTGAAGGTCAAAAGATAACACTACATAGATAAGGACTACGAATGAGGAAGCTAGTCTTTATTTTCTAATATATTCCTTTCTACACTTAGAAGTACTAAAGGACTTAATTAGTTAATAATGTATAAGATTTAGTTTCAATGTTGAGGGGAAGGAGTCTCACTATGTAGCCAAGGCTTCCCATGGCCTTACACTCCTGAGTGCGAAATGCAGGCCTTAGTAACTATGCTTCTCAATCCCCCACACCTCTGCTTCCCCCTACCCCCAGACAGAGAGGGTCTCACTATGCAGACCAGGCTGACCTGGAACTCAGATTCCAGAGATCATCGGGCCTCTGCTTCCTGAAGGCTAGGATTAAAGATGTGCGATACCACACTTGGCTTCAAGAATTCCTTAACAGCTAAAGAGCACCCCAGAATATGTCAATTGTTTAACAAGTTATAACCATGTTTGCTTCCTGCTGAACTGCTGTTTCTAACCTATTACTACTTTTATTTTTTAAAATTCTCCAGCATCTTGAGACAATGAATTCCTCACTGATCTCAGTTTTCTGGTAACACTGCCTACTACACACTACAGCCGTCACATTCCATAAATTATCCAAGGGGAAATATTTCCCCCTCAACTCCATTAAGTGTTAATTAATGGTTATTTTGAAGTTATTTAAAAGTATATTTCCAAATATATGGAAGGACATTCCTAGGCCTATGCAAGAAGGCATTGTGTATAATTTGAACTGACTGATACTTATTCAGACTGAAGTTGAAGACAGAAAATAATTTCTTAAATAAAAGAGTATCTTGTAAATTCAGAGTCCACATATGTCTGTTAGATCTTTCAATGATATTTGTCCAAATGTTCCTGATTTTGCTCAAGACGGGCATGTTAAAATCCAAGCTTTCTCTTTGTAGTTTGATTAACCTTTGCTTTTTATTTATGGAGGTCATGTTATTAGTTACATACAAATAAAAATATTCAGATCCTTTTAATGAAAACAGTCTTTGAACATTGTCATTTTTTTCTTACTTTTTTGGTAAATCATTTCTGTTGTTTCTTCTTGAACTCTTCCTTGTATGATTTCTTTGGTTAATATCTCAATAGCATGGGCTTCTCTCCCCATCCTTTAACCTCAATCTTTTTGTAGCATTTTCTTTCTTTCTCATTTATTTATTTATTTTTGAGATGGGGTTGCTCTATGTGCCCCAAGCTAATTGGAAACAGCGATCTTCTCTTGACCTCCCAAGGGATACAGTCCCAGATATGTCCCACACCAACCTCGCCCTTCAACTACAGTAATCAGCCTATTCACACCATTTTTGGAATTACTGATACACTTCAGGTCTACCACTCTACCACACAACTTCCCACGGGCTACTTCTATGCTCACTGTCTTTGTTTGCTGTCTTATTTTAATTACTGGTTGTTTCTCCAGCTACCTTTTCTAATGACTCTAGCATACGACAGGGTCTCACGTGGCCCGGATTGGGCTTGAACAGTCCTAATTTTCCTACATCCACCTTCCCAGTGCCGGGATTACATAGTCATACAAACACTGATAACTTTTTTCTCATTGAAAAGGTTATTTAACCTTATAAAAAGGATGGGCTGGCAAAGGCATTATGTTGACAATCTATCTGGTAGGCCGGCACCTGGGAAGTTACAGCAGGACTATGAGACTGAGGCTAGCCTGGGCCACATGAGGCCCTATCCCAAACAAAACCTTACTTTCCTCTTGAACACTACCACATGCTTCATTTAAGGTAACACAACACATTTTTCTATTCTTTAAGAGTATACTGGCTTTATTCTATAGGTTTGTGAATCAATCAGAAAAATTTATATATATTCACACAAAATTTACTCTAAACATTTCAAATTTAACTCATATAACACTGAACAAATTATTTTATAGCAATAAGATTTTCTAGATGTACCCAGTGGCAGAGGTCTGTAATCCCAGCTATCTGAGAGGCTAATATATGGGGACCATGAGTTCAAGGCCTGCCTAGGCAATTTAGCAAGACCATGTCTCAGGGAAAAAGTGGCAGAACACGTGCTTGGCAGGCTTACAGCTCTGAGCTCAAGCTAGTGTGGCAGCACAGACTTCTAATTCAGCACTCAATGGATGGAGCAGGAGGATTGCCACCAGGTTAAGAGAGACCCTGTCTCAAAACAAAACCCACCCAAACCAACTGAATATATTTCTGCTTGAAAATGTTCTGCCTCCTTCCCATTAGCACCGACTGCTGGATTTGTGTCCTTCAAAGGTCTCCTTAGGACCTGGAAAATCTAGTCTATGTTTCAGATGGTTTGGGAAAAGCTTTCAAAGTCCAGTTATCCATTTTATTGCTTTTTAAAAACTTAATCAAATTCACTGATCAATTATTGTATATAATATGTATTTCTGCTGTCAACTCTAGGATTTGTTCATGTTTTTTAATTGAATATTTTATAGCATTTAGGCCAATGAGTCTCATCGAGTTTCAGTATGTAAAGCTGCTTATCTCACACTGAAGCAAACTGCTGCATTTCTCATGTAATCCAAGAGTCATATAGTGATAGTTATAGACTACAAAATTGTTCTCATTCACATCCTGTGTAAATCTGACTATCCTGAGTAAGAAAACATACACTGTTTCTGCTGTGGAGGACACTTGGATCTCACCTTTACGCTAAATGCACTGAGTTCATGCCGTCTCGCCAGTCAACTGTCTGGTTCACCTGAAGTTGAAGTGAATATCTGCTCATGTTCCAATCATTTTCATTCCAGAACTCATTATGAAAGCTTTGATATGGGACAGGCTGACAGGAGATATCTTTAATAAAATGCAGATGAGCATTCCAAAAATAATAACGAAGACTATCATAAACATGATTCCTAATATTTCCTAATCATTCCTCCTTGCCAGAGACTATGCCAAAGGTCCCTTTTACTAGGCTCGCTCAATCCTCACAATAACCTTACTTACTACTGGCTAAAAAGGCAGCAGTCTGAAGCAGAGCTGAAGTGAACTGATAATAAAATACAGGTGGCAAATGATGCATGGGATAGCTTCTACACTGAGAATGTCCACAACTGTTCTCTATGTGGCAATTTCTATAGTTACAATTAAATGTAACCCTTTCACTGGTAATTAGTATTTCTATTCATAATTTAATTTTTTTCCTATGTAAATTAATATTCAATAAACTAGATTATAAAGAAAAAAAGGACAGCCATCAGATGGTCTTCTCTTACAAACTCTTATTCTGTAATGAATAGCTGAAAAAAGCGAGGGCTTCCTGTTCTAATCATCATAGTATAAACTACACAACGTTAAGTATGATGTGAGAGGTTCCACACACCTCACTTCCAGGCTTTTCTCAGCAGGGTCTAGGGAGCTGAGGGACACATAAAGGTGTTTCCCATATTTCTGATCTTATCAACATTTTTCTTCCATATGTATGTAAAGATGTTGAATAAGGGCTGTTCAATAAATAAAGGACAGTATTCAAATACACAAGATTTCTCCCATTGTGTGTATTCTCTGGTGCTTCTTCACCTGTAAGAGCCGAGTAAAGGCCTGTCCACATTCCTTACATTCATAGGGCTTCTCACCGGTATGAATTCTTTGATGTTGAGTAAGATGGGACCTCTGCCTAAAGGCCTTGCTGCACTGCTGGCATTGAAAGGGTTTCTCACCAGTGTGGATTCTCTGGTGTAGAATAAGAGTTTTACAATCAATAAAAGCCTTCCCACATTCTTTACATTCATAAGGCCTCTCCCCAGTGTGAATTCTCTGATGTCTATTAAAGTACGAAGGACAAGCAAAGGCCTTCCCACATTCCTTACATTCATAAGGTTTTTCACCAGTATGAACTCTCTGGTGTTGGATGAGATGTGCTTTCTGCCTAAAGGCCTTCATACACTCCTGGCACTCATAGGGCTTCTCATTAGTGTGAGTTCTATAGTGCTTCATGAATGCTGAATGACAGAGAAAGGCCTTTTCACAATAGTTACACTCGTAAGGTTTTTCACCAGTGTGAATTTTCTGGTGATCATTCAAGTTGGAAGCCCAAGTAAAAGTCTTTCCACATAAGTTACACTCATAGGGTTTCTCACCACTGTGGATTCTTTGATGTCTGGTGAGATTTGCACTCTTGTTAAAGGCCTTCTGACACTTGTGACACTCATAAGGCTTCTCATTGGTGTGTGTTCTCTGATGTTGAAAAAATGTCGAGAAGTAGAGGAAGGCCTTCCCACAATGTTTACATTCATAGGGCTTCTCATCCGTGTGAACTCTCTGGTGCTGGACAAGCAGGGAGCAGTTAGTGAAGGCTTTCCCACATTCTTTGCATTCACAGGGCTTTTCACCAGTGTGAAAGCGATTATGCTGAACAAGGTAAGCATGCTTTTCAAAGATCTTGCCACAGATCTCACACTGATAGGGCTTCTTATTGATCTGATATGGGGCAAGTTGGAAGTCATACGCAAATCCTCTGCTACACTCCTTCAATTCATCACATTTCTCGCCAGCAAAATCCTGCTGATGCTTTATCTGATCTGTGTAATAGATAAAGGTGTTCTCGTACATTTCATTGTCATCGGCAGGAATTTTTACCTGCTGAGTAATAGTTTCACCTGCTTCCTGTTCATTGTGTTTTGTTTCAGAGTGAGTCATTTCACTTAGAGCAATGGGTGTAGGATGAATGAATTCAGTTGACAACTTTTCCAACGGGGCTGTCACTCCCTGTAAATATTCCTTTGTAGATTCCGGTTGTGTCTCAAGTTTCCAATCATTTCCAAAACAAGATTCCTCAAGGCAAGAATTACCAACTCTTTCTATTATTTTCCATTTAAATGATTCCTTTCCAAAGATGCCACTCTCTAGAGATAAATTCTTAGTTTCATTTACAGACAGCAAATCTAAAAGGAAATAAGTACATATTTAGTACTAGAAGACACGAAATATCTACATTAGAAATGGGTGGCTGATGGCACATTACTTTAATCCCAGCACTGAGGAGGCTGAGGCAGGAGGATCTCCGTGAGTTTAAGGCCAGCCTGATCTACAAAGAGCATTCTAGGACAGCCAAGGCTGTTACACAGAGAAACCCTGTCTCGAAAAACCAAAAAAAAAAAAAAAAAAAGATTTTTAAAATAAGACATATATATAAAAACACTGTTTTGCCTACATGTGTATCTGTGCACCACATGCGATCACCCTGCCTACAGAGGCCAGAAGGCAGCTTCAGGTCCCCAGGATTTGGGAGTTACAGAAAGTTGTGAGCTGCCACATGGGTGCTGGGAATTGAACTGGATCCTCTGAAAGAGAAGCCAGTATTCTTAGTTGCTCAGCCATCTCTCCAGGCCCAAAATGAGATCTTAAAATATGTGCTGCAAAGCAAGAGAACTGGACTTCAGATCCTCAGAGCTCACAGAGCCACCAAGAAGGCATGGAGGTTTGCCTTTTATCCCAGTCTCAAACGGCAGAGAGACAGGGAAGCTGTCTCCCAGGGCAAGTTGGCTAGGAAGACTAACCAGGGTTTGATTGAGAGAGGTTGCCTCAAAAAGGAGGAATACAAGGAAAGCAGAGTGAACAACCAAGAGTGCCAACATTGACCTCTGACCTGCACACGGACACACACACACACACAAACACAAACACCACATATATATAGACTACATATACACGAAGAGGAAAAAAATTAAGCAGCAAATGAGGCAGACAAGATGGCGCAGTGAATAAAGGTGCTTGCTGTGAAACCCTGACAATCTGAGTTCAGTCCCAGATCCCACAGCTGAGGAGCAGAGCACACTCTTAAAAGCTGTCCTCTGACCCTAAAGTGCACACATACACCGTTAAGTCTCAAACCCGGAACAAATGACAGGTGACCATTAAACATATCAAAGTGGACCTGGCAACTCCTGGGGAGAGGGGAAGAAGTTCCAGGAAGGACTGAGAGGAGCCGTGAGGGAGCAGAGGGGGTGAGTGTTTGGTAACAAGAATTTCAACCAAATTTCAAACGGAGCATCCCAAGTAGACAGAGAGACTTGTTAGAGAGAGATGTCTAAGTCACAGAGGACAGGCGTCCCTTTCCACATGACGGGGGCCCAGGAGTGTGAGAGGAGCCTCCTGCACACCAGTGTGGCTTTCGTAGTAAAGTAGACAGAGCAGGGAGCTCTGTGGTGACACCCAGCAGAAGGGGAGAGACAAGTGGTTAGAGCAGGTAGAGGAGGAAACAGCTGGAGAGGTGCAAGTGTCTTAGTAAGTAGGACTGCCCACGTGGTGGGGTCCCGAAAGGCACAGCAGGGAGATGCCCTCGTGGTGGGGCCCCCAAAAGGGCGCAGCAGGGAGAGAGGACACTTACCGAGTAGGCAAGGAGAGACAAATGGTTAGATAAGATGGAGGGAAAGCGGCTGAAGAGGCGGACTCTCGAATCAAGTTTGGTGGGTGGCAGAAGCCAGCAGAAACAAATGATCCATACATACCCCAGGAGAGTCAGATCAACAGCTTGGTTCAGAGAGGCTGAGTGCCCTGAAAGGGAGCTCATTTATGCAACTCTTGGGTTTCGGCTACAGATGAATGAAAAAAAGAAATAAAAAGGAAAGGAAAGGAAAGGACATGACTACTCCTAGGTATGGTGGAAGAGAAAGTGTATTACAGGTATGTGGGAGAGCACAGCCAGAGGCAGAGATGTCTGGGAGAGTCCAGAGTGGACATGACCCATGTGGGGAGAGGGGGAGGGGAAGAGAGAGGAGAGAGGGGACCCAGGTGCAGCAGCCAGGAGGGCAAAGTACAAGAGGGGGAGGGTAACCAACATGTCTGGACTATATGGGAAGAGCCTCTGGGGGAGGGCAGGCCAGCCCCTGGGCAGGAGAGTTCAGGGTAGAGGGCAGGGCATGCCAGCCATACCCTGTAACAGGTAGAGATTGAGGGATGCTGGGAGAACCTGGCAGCCAGGTCCACTTTGATATATATGTTAAATAGACACCTTAACCATTTGTCCCAGGGTTTGAGCCTTTACACCCTCAAATAAAACAAAATAATAAGAATTTTAAAAATTAAATGGCATAAGTAACCTTGGAATGGTTACATTAATATCAGATAAAATAGACTTCGTGATAATCCACAGTGTCAAAGATAATTTTATCACAATGATAAAAGGTCATATTCATCTGTTTGGTAATCACGATTGTGTAATTTTATAATAACAAAGCCTCAAAACTCATAAGAGAAGATAGAACTAAGAAAGAAATGACAATCGTACAATCACAGCTGCAGATGTTACAACCACTTCCAATAACTTACAGAACCAGACCCCTCCAAACAGTCAATCGAGACAACAAAATTATAAATAGTACTGGGCACCATATCACCACTGCTTAAGGTTTATAAAGTGCAGCATCAGCAACGGCTGAGTGGGGCCAGTGGGATGGTACAGCAGGCTAGGGGTTTGCTGCCAAGCCTGAAGACCTGAGTGTGATCCTGGAGAGCCACATGGTGCAAGGAGAGAACTCACTCCCACTAATTGTGCACACACACAGATGCTCTAAATAAAAGTCGACAAAGAAGAGAAAGGAAAGAAAAAGAAAAAGCAAGCTGCTGATACTCTTCCTTCTCAAACTATTTCTTCCAAAACACTGCTCTCACAGCAGAACTTTCTGTACACTGTACCAGGGGAAGATCACCTCCACTCTATGACTAGTCTGGGCTTCCCCAAAAGCACTCCAGTTGCTCCTAACATCCTTACACACCTGGATACCATTCTGCTTGCTCCACCATCCACGGTTCTTTGCCTTGCTCCAGTAGTGAAATTACTGACGGCTTAGAAATGGCAAGTCCTACCCAAAGAAAGAGAATGTCAAAATCAAATACGGAAACAAGCAGTGAGAGCAAAAAACATTTGCTACAGAATCCAGTTTAACCTAAAACAAATTTCAGATCTTCAGGATGATTGGGATTTAAAATAAATAAATACATAAGCTGCTGTATTTAGGAAGCACTTTACTAAATAACTGTTGCTTGCAGAAATCACTGATGAAAATTAAAATTAGCAGGGAAGTATCATGAGAAAGTATGTACACAGTGTATCAAAGGACTATTTGTAAATATGTACAGTGTATTTATCAACTGTGAGTGGTGGCTTTGGGGATGGAGAAAAGGTTCAACAGTTAAGCCCAGCATGTGGTAGACTTCACTCTCCCACAGATGGTCTTCCCTATCCCTCAGGGAAAGCACTTTCTGAATTATAAGAAACGGATGGCCTTACCCAGCGACACAAAGTTGCCGTAGGTCTCCAACATGACATCTCTGTACAAAGACCTCTGCTGAGGGTCCAGGCACTCCCACTCCTCTTTACAGAACTCCACAGCCACATCCCTGAACACCACCAACTCCTGAAAGGACAACACGCAAGTGACAGCAAAGAAAATCATTTCAGGCAAATGTTAAGACTTCTTTTTCACAGTTTTCCAGGGCAAGGCATGTCCCCTCCCAAGACTAGAAAAACTGAACATTTCAAAGAACTGGCCTCTGGCTCCTGAGAAATCATTCCTGAGCTCTTGAATGTCCCTCCCGATGAGGTGCTTCTTTTATGGATGCCTGAGTGAGGCCTTGGGCTGTGCCAGCTTGACCTCTAGGAGGCTGGAAAGTCAACAAAGATGAACTGTAGCCACATTGGGCGTTCCCAGCAAAAACTGCAGACGAAAAGGCATTTGCCAAGTGTCACTTGTTGGCCATACTTGCTACATGTTGTCTCATATGGTGGCTGGGAGAATTAAGCATATCTCCAGACTTCTACCAGGATGACACAAATGTAGGGTCTAGAACTTGCCTTTGGCAAACTTCTCTTTCCTATTCTGCATTCTTTTGGAGTAAATTTACAAGAATAAGGATAACTGCTTCTCCTAGTCCTGCAGACTGAACCAAAGAATCACTCCAGTCTACCCAGACAAGCGGCTCACTCTCATAATCCCAGCACTGGGAAGGACGGCTAGAAATTCAGGGCTAGCCTGAGGTCTTAGTTAGGGTTAATATTACTGTGAGGAAACATCACAACCAAAAGCAACTTGAGGAGGAAGGTATGCATTCCCCTTGTGCTTCCCGGCAACTGTCCATCACTGAGGGAAGTCAGGACAGGAACTTAAACAGGACAGGAACCCAGAGGCAGAAGCAGATGCAAAGGTCATGGAGGGGTGCTGCTCACTGGCTTGCTCCCCATGGCTTGCTCAGCCTGCTTTCCTATAGAACCCAGGACCACCAGCCCAGGGATGGTACCACAATAGGCTGAGCCTTCCTCCATCAATCACTAATTTTAAAAAATGCCCTATCGTCTTGCCTCCAGCCTGATCTTATGGAGGTGTTTTCTCAGTGGAGGTTCCCTCCTCTCAGATGACTCTAGCTTGTGACAAACTGACATAAACACTAACCGACATCTAGGCTACACAAGTTGCAGACCAGCCTGAGCTACAGAATGCCACCCAATCTCAAGTAGGAAAAAACAAGAAACCCAAGGCCCCAGATGAGGTATCTTAATTGAGGTTAAAGGAGAATGCACGGGAGAAATCCGGCAGTACACTGGGGCCCACAGAGAGGCTCAGAGGCAGAGAATGTAACTGTTTCAGTAGAACCAGCGCCCAGAAGGATGAAGCCATTTGTTACTGAGGCCACCTGTTTTGGGAACATGACACACTCAAATGGAAGCCTGAAAACTATTCTGTGGGTGTCTTGGTTATGATTAAAATAGTAATGGGGACACATCAGATAGCAATGGGCATCCTCCGGGGACAACAGACACAGATGACACTTAGGAAATAAAACAGCACTGCGCCCACAGGAGAGCCCAAAGCAGGACGAATGTCTGGCTCCCTTCGCCCTTCGGTGTCTGTCCCTCTGCTCAGGGTCACCAGCATAGCTCTGCAAGCAGGCATGCCGACCACTCAAGACGAAACCCGTGATACCTTCCTTGCCTATCTCCTTAACTTCTAAAACTGAAGCACACAAGTGGTATAGGCATCGTACTGTCAACGTTTTTGTGTATCTCAGTCTCCAGAACCCCTAAAAGGCATCCAAAGGTCTCAGGTTCTGGTCCTAAAACTGCATTCACCTTGGACTTCAGGAATAGCATAACCTCAAGGGTTGCCCCCTGGCCCCAGATGTGGCCGACTGTCCCTAAGGGTAGGGCCCGATCAGGAGCAAAAGTAACCAGCTGCTGAGAATAAATCTGTCCCCTGGAACCATGAGGTTCTGCCCACCAGCTTGCAGAAACTGACAGAAGGGACAAGGACTGATCAGAGAGACCACACCCTGATCAGGACTGCTTAATTATGCACACCTCTCCCCACTCCTGTTCTTCCTCGTTAACCCTAAAAGCTCAGTGCCTCAGAGACAGCCTGAGGGTCTCTCTAAAGGTACCCCTTTATCTCTGCACTGCCCACAAAATCACCTTCTCTCAGCTTTTCAGTGTTATTCATCCTTATCTATTTTAATTTTTAAAATTCCGTATGTGTGTATGCTAAGGTCAAAAGACCACTTACTCAGATGATTTAGAAAGGGGAGGCAAGCTGGGTGGTGGTGGTGCACACCTTTAACCCCAGCACTCGGGAGGCAGAGGCAAGTGGAGCTCTGTGAGTTCGAGGCCAGCCTGGTCTACAGAGTGAGTTTCAGGGCAGCCAGGACTACACAGAGAAACCTTGTCTAGAGAAACTAAAAAAATTTAAATAATACATAAATTTTAAAAGAAGTATTTTTTGTTTTCTAGGTGGAAAGTTATTAAGCAGAACAGAAAAGACAATGGGTTTCTGATGGGGATAATGAATAAAAAATAAGGAATAAATTATATGTCTGTTCTAGGGGGAGTATCAAAGGATGTTCGACCAATAAATGAGGTGGGAGCAGTAAGTTCATGAGTTCAAGTTCATCCTTGGTTCTAAACCAAGTTCAAAGCCAGCCTGAGCTACATGAGACCCTGACTAAAAAAACAAAACAAAACAAAAAAAACAACAACAACAACAAAAAAAAACCAATAATAATCACAGCCAGGTTTTAATCCGAGCCTTTGGGGAGGCAGAAGCAGGCAGATCTCTGCGGATTCAAGGCCAGAGTGATCTACAGAGCAAGTTGCAGACTACATAATAAGACTCTGTCCCATTAAATAAGTAAACACAATAAAAATATAGAGACCTGCGAATTTAAAAGCAAAAGCATTTTTCTTTATTTGCAAATACCTACCAACATTTTTCTTATGGGTTTTTCTTTTTTTTTGAGACAGGATCTCACACAGTGAGCTTGGAACCTACTAGGTGGCCTAGGATGGGCTTGAACTTGCAGCAATCCCAAATAATTTTCTATTTCCCCTACTCCTGACTCATGAGCGACTGAGTACACGATACAATAATAATCTCATCCAGTATATCCTATGCATCAGCACTTGTTAACGACCTTACCTATCAATTCACTCCAACAAATCTGAAATAAGTGCTAGTATTTCTGCCACTTTCAGAGAAGGAGACTGAGGAAAAGGAAAAAGAAGTACACGCATGAACACAGAGGTAGTGGGATCCCTTACATGGCCCAGAAATGCATGAGTGAAAAAAGAAAACCAAAACCAAAAACCCGAAACGTACAGCCTCTTGTAGTTCACACATACCGAAGAAAACAGAGTCGTGCTGGCAAACCTCAAACCTCACATGGTTACCATGACAACACGGTGACAATTCCATTTCAGGAATCAGCAACCAGAAGATAGATGACAGAAGAACTTTTACCTCACCTTGAACACAGTGTTGACATCCACAATAGCCATGCCCTCGGTTCTTCTGGGCACTTCGGGAAAACTGCAGAACTGGAGAAGGAAGACAGAGTTAGAAGAAACTAGGTTAAACATCCAAAGACCAAAAACCACAACTGAGACTGTTATGCTACTGAGGGACACTCATAGGGACGATGACAGATTCTCATTCCTTCCATTTGTAAGCTTCCATTTGTAAGGCCTGTTACCCACCCAGGAAGTCCTTCCTACCTCATTAATAGGGTAAGGAATGTGTCTTTCTCATAGCCCCTTATCACAAGGGTAGAAGCTACCAGCTACAGGAGTAATGTCCCAAGAGGTTCCTAGAGACAAACTTGCCATTTATCTGTAGCATGCATAGAAAAATCTTCTTATGAACATGAAGAGATACTCTTTTTTCTTTTCTTCTTCTTCTTTATTTTTTATTTATTTATTTATTTTTGGTTTTTCAAGACAGGGTTTCTCTGTGTAGCTTTGCGCCTTTCCTGGAACTTGCTTTGGTTGGCCTTAAACTCAGAGATCTGCCTGCCTTTCACTCCTGAGTACTGAGATTAAAGGTGTCCACCACCGCATTCAGCCTTTAATTTTTTTTTAAAGATTTATTCATTTATTATGTATACAGCATGTATGACTGCAAGCCAGAAGAGGGCGCCAGATCTCATTACATATGGTTGTGAGCCACCATGTGGTTGCTGGGAAATGAACTCAGGACCTCTGGAAGAGCAGTCAGTGCTCTTAACCTCTGAGCCATCTCTCCAGCCCCAGCCTTTAATTTTTTAAAAACACTATGTCCATAATGCCCAAGGCCCCTTCCAGTACCCAATAAAATGCCAGCTCTGTATTTTCTGCAGGTAACTTGAGTTTCCCCAAAATAAATGCTGTTTATTCCCTTGTCTTCAACCCTTCCCCCATCCCAATAAAACATGTGCCTTAGAGTTCATGCTCAGAATTGATTTTTAAAAGATTAATTTATTTTATGTTTATTGGTGTTTTGCTTGTACATATATCTGTATACTACATGTATGCCTGGTACCTTGAGAGGTCAGAAGAGGGAATGGGATACCCTGGAACTGAGTTATGGATAGCTATGAACTGCCACGTAGGTGCTGGGCATTGAACCCAGATCTTCTAGAAGAGCAGCTGGTGCTCTTAACCACTGAACCATCACTCTAGCCCATAAGATTTATTTATTTATGTATTTTATGTACATGAGTGCTCTGTCTTCATGTACATCAGAAGAGAGCATCAGACCCCACTACTCCACTATAGATGGTTGTGAGCCACCATGTAGTTGCTGGGAAATGAACCCGGGTCCTTTGGAAGAACAACCAGCGCTCTTAACAGCTGAGCCATCTCTCCAGCCCCAGTTTCTATTTTCTACATTCACTAGGCTCCTTCAGAAGACTTGGATAGTTGAGATCTAAGAGGGCTTCTCAGCACATAGTTTTTTACCCAGAGTTCCCAAAGGAACCAGAAGGGAATCCCTGCTTCTGGTGACTCTTCCTGACATGGGATCCTCCCTCCATATTCTAAGACTGACCAAGGGCTTTGTGTGAAGAACAGTAGCAGAAATCTTGCCTAATGCTGAAAGGCCCAAGCTCAGTCCAGCAATAAAAAAAAAATATATATATATATTAAAGCTGTGGTCTCAGGCTAGTCATTATTCAATATTACCATCAGTGATGGGTTCAATAATCTCCAAAATGTTCCCTACCACACATCCATCCCTACATCTCATCCCATTATTAATCACCTTCAAGCCCTACCTCACCCCACAAATCCCTGTCTCATCCCACACTCTCTTTTACTGGGACAGCAGAAAGAGCTCCCCATGGCATGAAGAGAACCTTTTCTGTGGTTTCCTCCACCTCTCACGCAAATAAAAAAGAGGAACTTGATCTGGCTGGAAACCATAAACAAAAAGCAAGGTTCATTTCAGGAACTTCAAATAATTTCTGCAGGAACTGGTGAGGTGCAGTAGTAAAGTCCATTTTAGTCCATTTAAGCTGCTCTAACAAAAACATCAGAGGCTAGGCAGCAGCTTACAGACAGCAAATCTGTCTCTCAGTTATGGAGGCAGAGAAGTCCCTTTCTCAGCACGGACAGATTTGGTGTCTCTGGAAAACCTATTTCCTGGTCCACATATGGAGACTCTGTTCTGTGCTCTCACCTAGAGGAAAGAGGCAGCTCCAGGGAACCAGGGCACTAATCCCATGTAATTACCTTAAAAACAAAAACAAAAAACCCTACCTTGTAAATCCACCACATTGATGGCTATATTATTGTAACTATAAACTGGAGCGGTTAGAGATGGGTGGACAACTGAGACCCAGCGTGCTCATGTGTCTCCTGTCATAAAGGCTTGTCTAAGACTTTTCATATCTGTTGTTTGTTCCCTAAACAAGACTAACCGCCTACTCTGAGGGTGTGACCCAAAAGTAGGAGTTCCACCGTAACAAGTTTTTTCAAATATAATTTCTCCACCCTCATACATTTCAGAGACAGGATTTCACTATGTAGCCCACCTGGGACTCGCTACATGAGTGTGCCTACGGTTGTCCTCAAAGTCGCTGTCTTCCAGCTTCCGCAGCTGAGATTAGAGAAGTGGGTCACCCCATCTGACTTCTGACTATATTTAAAAGTCACGCTGATTGGTAAACTGATCTATCTTGTGCACAGAAATCCTTATCACCTCTAATATTTAGCTCTCTTTTTTCCAATTTTTCAAGTAAATTTGACATCAAGGAAGGAGTAGACAGACGTATTTCCCCACACTTTGCGGTGGGAGACTAGAGGATCCAGTAACCACCTACCACCCATGTTCTGGTGACCTCGCGCACGCTCGCTCTCACCCTTCCGTACAATCCACACCCTCCAAAAACCTTTTCGCCTATGAAGTCACACTCGCCTCGCCGTAGTCCCTGAGGAGGAGACCTCTTGCGCCTCCAGCGCCATCCCGGAAACCGGGTGGGTCCCCTAGAGCCAGCCGGCAGCCAGCGACCAACAAATAAAGGCCTTAAGGCCCCATACCCCAAATACCTAGAACCAGGGCAAGACTCACCTCAAAAGTATAAACTGCGACCCCACGAGCTACAAACTCAGAGGACCAGCGAATACCAACCAGGACAGCACCCGGTTAGGTCGGGTAGGGCACTGAGACGATCCGGAACAACCTCTCTCCAGCCACTTCCGCCATGTGTCTCAGCTTTTAAAATGAACTACATTTCCCAGAAGGCCGTGCTTCTCTAGACTCCCCGGGAGAGTTTCAACGCCCGAGAGTGGAAGTAGAGAATGTTGGAACGAGAGAACATACGATTAGCCTTCTAAGGGGGACTTCTCACGGATCCGGGGCTAGAATCTTCTGATTTTTTTAAGTGATTCAGATCTGCGGTGGGGTGGAGATTTTTATTCCAGAATCAGGAGTGCGGCAAGGACTGGATCAAATGACCCCGCTCAGGACTACATTTCCCAGAGGCCATCGCAGCCCGTTTCTCCTTGAAGAACTCAGCCTGCACTTGACCCTGGGATGTCAAGTGGGAGTTCTTTAGGGCTTCCCAGGTGTGGAGTACCAAGTCTGGGAGGCAACGGGATAAGGCCTTTATTCTGGGAATGAGTGGATGGGGCAAAGATCGCCTTGTCTTCACTGGAACACAATCTGCCTATACTTGAGAGTCACTAATTGAAATGTGCTGCTTTGCCAGACCTGGGCATGCATGCCCGTAGTCCCAGCACTCAGGAGGTAGAGACAGAATAAGGAGTTTCAGGGCCAGCATCGGTTTCATAGCGAGTTTGAAACCAAGGTTACTTAAGAACCTGTGTCTATAAAAGGAAAATAGTGACTAAAGAGATGGCTCAGCGCTTAAGAGCACTTTCTGTTCTTCCAGAAGACCTGAGCTCGGTTCCAAGCACTCATGTCGGGCCAATCATGAACATTTATGTTGGATTAAACTTTATGGAGGGTTGTTTTTGTTTGTTTGTTTGTTTTTGAAACGTTTGTCTCACTGATATAATGAGAACTCAATGTTGATCATGCTGGCCTCAAACCCTGAAATCCCCATGTCTCTGCCTCCTGTTTGCTGTGATTAAAATCATGCATCACCACATCCAGCTAAGTTTTGGTGGTTTATGTTACTGTTTGGTTTTGTTGTCGTTACTGAGACAGAGTTGTACTAGGTAGCCTTGGCTAGTGTTCTGGCCTGGAGCTTACTTGCTATGTAGATCAGGCTGGCTTCTAACTCACAGAGATCCTCCTGCCTCAGCATCCCAAGTCCTGGAATTAAAGGCACATGCCACCATGCCCTGCTGACTTTCAGTTTTGGGGAGACAAGATCTTGTCTGTTTACACCAGTTGTCTCAGCCTCCTGAGTGCTGGGATTATAGGTGTGAGCCACCACACCTGTCAGTAAGTTTTTCAATGGACTTGTTAGTATTCTGACCCGCCTTTTGGGAACCCATCCAGGGTCCTGACGCCATCCTACATTCCCTTTAAGGAAAAACTCCTTCCCCTTCACTCACTCTCTCTCTCCCCCTTCTCACCAGGGATAGCACACACCTCTCTTTCTGTGTCCTTTCTCCCCCTCTCTACCCCTCCCTTTCTCTCCCTTTCTCTCTCCCCCTCTTTTCCCCCTTCCTTCCCCTCTCTCCCCACCCCTTTCCTCTCCCCGTGGATGTCCCATTTGCTGTGTGGTTAACTTTCCTTGGGGCCACACTGCCCCACTCACCCACTGAGGGGTACCTTGGTCCAAGGCCTCTGGTGCACGGTTTCACAACATTAATACTTGTAACATTTTACCTATTTTTAATTTTTTTCTCTTGCTTTGTGAGGCAGGATCTGCAGCCCAGGCTGGCCTTGATGTTGCTCTCTTTCTACCTCAATATTCCCATCGTTTCTATTACAGGCCTGACATCCAACTTAAATTTTGGAATGGGAGCTGTTCTATGACTATAATAACATCTAATCCATATCATATCTAAAAATAATGACTTTTAAGTGTTTTAATAACTGTACCTTTTTCTGATGGTCCTAGGAATCTAGTGTAATACTGAAATCATAATAGCGGGCACTTGTGTGCCATTCCTACAACCCCAGGGAAATAAGGAGTAGGGATTAGGGATGTGTTCAGCAGTAGAGAACATGACCACTGTAGTTTCAACCCCCAGCACCTCCAAAGACAAGAAGTGAGGCATAATGACCTACTCCTATGACCCTGTTGATTGGGAGGATATGTTGGAGTATTGCCCCAAGTTGGAGGCCAGCCTAGGTAGCCTGAGCTAAAACATGAGACCACATTAAAAAAAAAAAGCTACTAGAAAAATTAAAACTAAAGCCACCTCTGGGGACAGTAGAGCAGCCACCCCGCCAAAAGAGATAAGATCTAGTCCAGGGCACTGGTCTGTATGACCAGATCATTCCCTAAGCTGAGAGGAATCGTATTCACAAGACCTACTGGCAGCCTGAAATCAGACTCTGTTTCTTAGATGTCTAGGATCACTGGACGTTTCTGAACCTCCTGGGACCCTCATGCACATCCTCTCTTCAGACATCTGCCCGGGGGAATTCTCCATGAACCTGCTAAGGGCAGATATGTGGCAGGCATGAATGAGTGAATGTACATAAAAAAGGCCAAGGAAAAACACCCTGACCCTGAGGAGACCTGAGACCCAGGCCAAGGAAAAATATCCTAACCCTTACTTGACTCCAGGACCAGGGCTTAAAATCCCACCAATCCCTGAGCTTGCCCAAGAAACCCTATAAAAGCTCTGTACCCTGTTCAGTTTGCTGCTGCTTCCCACCCTAGAGGCGGCCACTTCCTGGATTCTGACTTCCCGATAAATCTCTTGAGTGAGGTTTGTTATGTGGTGTGACATCACCCTCAGAGCAGAGCCCAGCAGCAACAACTTTGGCCAAAGCAGAGCAGAACTTTCCCTGGGGAAACTTTTGAAGGGGAAAAATCAGTAGCCCTCTTGAGAGTTGGCCTCCATCTGAAGGTATCTGCTGACCAGAGATTAAATTTACGTGAAAACAGGACTGGAACAATAAATCTAAATGTATATACCCGGGACTCAGCAAACAGGATGTAGGGAGTAAAAAAAAAAAAGTGTCTTTGTAGATGCCTGCATCCTGTCAGCCATTAGTAGTTTCATGCTTACAGTTTAGCCAGTAACTTCAAAGAACTACCTTGAATAAAGAACCCTTTTGTTTTTGCATCAGAAATCAACTCCTTGGTAGTCTTGTTGAGGGGCACAAGGACAAGAGCATTTTCCCCTAGGGGAGCAGAGTTCTTACACTCCAAGGGACCTGAGCAGAGCCTAGTGGAGCAGAGTTGTTACATCTGCATTGGGAAATGCTTGCAGTGACTTTGTGATGTCTGTGCCTGGCAGGGAATGTATGGGAGCATGTGTGCCTGTATGCATGGGGGTTGAAAGGGAGAGGGAGAGAGGGAAGAGGGAAGAGAGAAAAACAGAGGATTGGGGAAGGAGGGCTGTGACTGTGAAAGACTGGGATGTGTCTCCTGAATGGGAAGTTCGTTGAGAAGCTGTGACCAGTGAGTGGCTGGCTGTGCATGGCATCACGAGAAGTGAGGTGCGTGTCCTTAACGTTTGCTTGGATCACTATAGTTGTGTGTGTCGATAACCCACTGAAGATTCCCTGTTGTTTTCTCTTCGAAACAGCTTGGGACTGACACTGAAAGTCCCTAGATGATCCCTAGATGAAGCTTTTCAAGAGGAAGACATTGCCTTGTGTTGTGGGACATTACTTTAACTCAGTAAAAATGTGTTACATTTGTTTATGTTGTCTTTGTTTAATGATGTAAAGACGTGTTGCTTGCCTAATGCACCTGATTGGTCTAATAAAGAGTTGAACAGCCAGTAGCTAGGCAGAGGAAGGATAGGGGGGGCTGGCAGGCAGAGAGAACAAACAGGAGAATAAGAGGAGGAGGAAGAAGGAGGAAGAGAGGGAGATGCCAGGGGCCAGGCAGCCAGACAGACATGGAAAAAGCAGGAAAGTAATGCATACAGAAGGAAAGAAAGGTAAAAAGACCCAAGGCAAAAAGCAGATGAAGAGAAACGAGTTAATTTAGATTAAAGAAGCTGGCTGGGGGCAGGCCTGAGCTAAGGCTGAGCATTCGTAACTAAGAATAAGTCTCAGTGTCTTGATTTGGAAGCTGGGTGGTGACCCAAAGAGAAAGGCAGCTACAGGCCAGTTAACAGTGGGAGGTGTGGGATGTCTGTTTTTTATTGTTGAGAAGGATCTCTCTCTGTACCAGTCACAGGCCTCAGACTCTCCATACTTTAGAGCAGTGGTTCTCAACCTTCCTAATGCTGCAACCCTTTAATACAGTTCCTCATGTTGTGGTGAACCCCACAACTGTAAAATTATTTTTGTTGCTACTTCATAACTGCAATTTTGCTACTGTTATGATTCATAATGTAAATATCTCTGTTTTCTGGTGGTCTTAGGCAACTCCTGTAGAAGGATCACCCTGCTACACACAAAGGGGTTTTGACTCACAGGTTGAGAACCACTGCTTTAGGCTCTCAAGTGTTACAATTATAGATATGAACTACTGTGTCTCAACTTTAAACCTACTAGTTATTTATATTATAAGAATTCGGAACACCTGCCAACTCGGCCCCAGTTGCCAGCCAGCAGGCAGGGCTCCTGCAAGAAGGCTCCCCATTCACCAAGACCCCTCAGCAGCAGATCCTGCAATCTACACACCCTGCCCCCATTTCCATCTGCCTGAGACCCCAGTCACTTCCTGAGGCCTGGAAACCAACCCCCAGCTCTATTCGGACCTAGAGCTCTCATCGGGCCTAGAGAGAGAACTCTCATTGGACAAAGGACTGTCATTGGACCAAGAGTAACCTCAGTAGACAGGGAATCTGCCAGCCCTCATTAGACCAAGAGCGGCTTTCTGAGAAGTAGAATCTGCCACCTCTCATTGGACCAAGAGAGGCTTCCTGAAACACAGAATCAGTCAGCTCTGACTGCACCAAGAGTCCTGAGAAGACCAAGAAAGCATCTGTGACTCACAGAATCAACTAGCCTGGGTTGACCCAAGAGCAGCTCCCTGAGACACAGAATCTGCCTGCTCCAATTAGACCAAGAGCTAAGATTAGACCCAAAAGGGCTCCCTGAGACACAGACACAACAAGCACAGAGCGGACCAACAGCAACTCGCTCAGACACAGGCACCTCTTATACCCATTAGAAGAGGAGATGGGCAGACATCAAGGCAGAAGTACACACAACAGCATAAAGAGCAATACAGCATCACCAGAACCTAGCCCTCCTCCAACAGCAAGACCTGAACATCACAAGGTAGAAGAAGCAGAAGAAAGC